TGCTGTTGTCGTATGGCTGTTAAATAAATGCTGTTTTTCTTAATTAAACTTTAATCCTACTCAATACTCTCCTTAGTTTATTGTAATTTTTTTTAAGAATTCTCTATAAATCCCCCCCTTTTTTTCACCACCTAAGACATATAAACTTGAACCTGATTTTCCTTTTTAAGGTTACCCGTGGCACTCTCTTAAAAAATTCCTAAATTAATTTATCCCTTTCCCCAGCATTTCAGAAAACATTAAAAGTCTCACTCTGGCCAACAGTTTTCACTTATCTGGGTTACTCAGGATTAATCTAAAAATAGTATGGCTTCTGAAAATCAAGTTATGCTTTTATTATATGCATAGGATGAAATGAAAGCAAAATAAATGATTACAAAAGAAACATAAAAATATTTACTTCATAACGATAACATAAATCATAAATCAGGGATTTATAAATTCATCTTAGAAATCTACAACTAAGGATTTCCCTTTCGGGAAGTCCCTAAAGTTCTAAAATAAAAACTTTTTAAAGAAAAAAGGAATACATTATGTATTCACAAGAGTATTTTTGTTGTACAATATTTTTGGATTGAGAATTTTTTTGGAGTGGAGGTTTCAAAAGTTTTTTAGATAGCAGAGAGTACACAGATTGTAAATTTCTGCCTTAACCAAATGAAACTTGCCTCTTTAAATAGAAAAATTCTTGAGAGCAAAAAGTCTATTATATCCATAATAGGAAATGCACTCACTTCACCGAGAAACTTCTGGCAAATCAAATGTCTAACAAGTGTCTAAAATAATTTAAGTGGGAATCTTTCTTTTGAAAAAATCCCGACATCTTTCCTATCAATAAAAACTTTTTCAAAAAGTCTACAGTAAAGATTCTTCAACTTTTCTTCTTTTCTTCTAGCAGACTTTGTCTTTTTCTGAATTATTGAAGATCTCATTATGTACTGAGATTATGACGTGCCACTGATGAAAATGATATTCCACTATCTGAATTATTATATCCTTCATTCTGTGGATCTTCGTTTGAAAGTCTGGAAGGACTGGCTTCATCTTTTTCCTTTTGATCTGGACATTCTGCAATTTCTTTTTCTTCTCCATGGTTCTTTTTTAAAATTGTCTCAAATGCTTGATTTACTGCTTCTTTAATTTGTTCTTTCAATTCTTCATCATTTTTCTTCTTCTTAATCTTTTTATTTCTTTTTGAAGAAGTTCCTTCTTCTTTTTTGGATTGTTTCTGAAATTCTTCTATTTTTTCAAAAATCTTTTCTGAGGAAACAGTATCTTGATTGGGGTCTTGTGCATTTTGAAAAAGTTCTTGGCTGTCTTGAACAATCATTTTTTCTTTTTCTTCACTGGACTGAATTTCTTGGGTTTGTGAAAGATCTAGGTTATTTGAAAAATGTTCTGGTGGACTATATTTAACTAAATAATCAAATTTTCTACTAAGTTGTCCTAAAAGATCCCAAATCTCTTTACCTTTGTCTGTAACAGATTTATTAGTCTGATTATCTGATTTAGTAAAGGAATCAACAGTCCCCTGAGTCTGTTGAACTTTTGGTAAGTCCATAATTTTAAACGAATTTAATAAGTCTTTACCAGCTACCGTTTGGGCTGGACTAGGTATGGACTTCTTGGGCTCTATAGTACCTTTTGGATAATGGACTTTTAAATCCAAAATCTCTTTTTCTAGTTGGGCCACTTTCTTTTGGAGTTAGGTTCTTTTTAAGGAAAGGTTCTGGTTGGTTTCATTAATA